AACTATATAATATGAAATACAGTAAAAACAACCCTTTCTCATTAACACATTGCAGTATTGTAACGATATACTGTACAGTATATATAAACCCGATTAGTAGACATGACAGGTGATCTTGCTTTTGTTTTTGGCTGTTTTTAGCCTTACGGGGTTACAATAAAAAATGTCATATTTTAAAATGTGCTGTGATGTATAATACATTTGGATTCACAATGCAATTTCTCATTAGAAATCTTTATTCTGTCAACTTCCAATGCATAGATTTCTGCACAGCTTATAACACCCTGCAGCATGGGAAGTTATTTTCAGTATATATTGACTCAATGCACTTATTTGACTCTTGTTGCCCATATCTGCTTGCGGCTGTACTGTGTCGCTTGTACATAAGTATCCTGACCCCTGCTCTTACCAGAGTGAAACGGTCATTTATTTCCTCCGGCAGCATCTTACTGTTATTACTGAAAGGGAAGAGAGATCTAGGATAGCCTGCAGATGAATGTTTGTGGTAATCCTTAACGGCCTCAGCGAGGTTTGCGATGTCAGGACTTCAGGGTTATAAAACTGAATCACCCATGGATGCAACTCAGAACGATTCTACATTACTGTCCTTCCCAGATAGTACGTAATGTTATTAGGCATGTGAGTGCTGAATCATTGAAAGCTCAAAACACAATTAAAGTGATAATTAATGGAGCATGGTTCTCGGAGGAGTCAAGTGGAGTAAAATTACTTCCTCTCTTATCCGGATTTCCATCTCCACAGCCCGACACCTTCGCATCCATTTTGAGCTCAGACGTGAATATAAAATGTGCGGTAGTTATGTTTAGTCATGAGAAAACTAAATGTCAAAGCACTGTTCAGAGTGTTTTTGTGTCACCTCAGGGGGAAGGGAGTTGAGAAAAAAGTTTGTTCATTGAGAATCTGGAAGAGAGGAGGTGATGCTCCAAGCGTTGCTTAGGGTGAGATTAATGAAGAAACTGAAAAAGGGGGGGTGCAGTATAGGAAATGGTGAATAATTCAACATATGAAACAAAAGGGGGACCAACTGTGAGCCTTGCTGTCTTTGTTGTAACTAAGATATGGAGTGAAGAGGCAGAACGTGAATTTACCCTGCATGTATGGAACAATGGATTCAAAGAGAAGCATCTTAGCTCCACAGATTTTAATTCCAAAAAAACAAACCTTTTGTCCAGAGACTGGCTGCATGATTAAAGTGGGAACTGCATTTGCTTCTTAATTTCCAAGTTTCTGTCTTTATATCTGTATATGGCCTTATTCAGATAATTTGTGTGTGAGGATGCATGCTTTAAGCCACTTTAGTACATCAAGCTGCCAGTGCCGCTCTATGTTCTTCTTTTTTATTTCTTCTCTTGAGTATCGAGATGTCTGTAGGTTATTAGTTGCTTATTATTCAGCTCAGCTTCAACTTTAAATTTAAAAGTGGTTCTTTTGTTTTCCCTAAGGACTTGTACAACTACTGTATGCTTGAAGGAAATGTTCCAGTGAAGTCACAGCTGACCCCTACACAAATGAAACATAAGGAAAAAAGGCTGAGGGGCTTTAAGGTGAGCAAGTTGCAATTTCTTCCAAGTTTGACCAAGCATGACAAACAGCTGTGCTCTAAACCTTTACTTCACCTTTTTATACTTTGCAATACAGACTTATCTTGTGTGCTACACCATGCTTTCTGCCAGGAACAACTATTCTCTGCTATTATGGGCAACTCAAAAGATGTCCGGACGTCTTGGCAACAATTGTAATCTCTGTGTGTGTGTGTGTGTGTGTGTGTGTGTGTGTGTGTGTGTGTGTGTGTGTGTGTGTGTGTGTGTGTGTGTGTGTGTGTGTGTGTGTGTGTGTGTGTGTGTGTGTGCGTGTGTGTGTGTGTGTGTGTGTGTGTGTGTGTGTGTGTGTGTGTGTGTGTGGGGGGACTCCAGATGCCAAACTAATTTGTGCATTATTATATTCTCCTTTGCATCAAAGACATTAAACCTCCTCTTCCATTGTTTTACATTTTACAAATTAATCTGTTTATAATGTGCGATGTGAATATTTGTCTTTCTGCGCCACTGAGAACTCTCATGTGATTTTGTCAACAGATTATTGGTTTTAGAGAAGGATGTTTTGACAGATCCGTTACAACTTTCATATTCCAAATGTTTCTGTCAAAGTGTTTTCCTAAATCACTTTGCTCATTTAGTTCAGTTTAGGGATTTCAATAACTGAAGTGTTCCGCTCAGTGAAAGTGTAAAGCTTGTAGCTTTAAACTAAAGGAGAATAACTAACACCAGTGTGATTTCTGTGAGAGTATGACCGTCCTGGCCAAAGTTACAGGGGGTTGCCAAATCCGGCATCAATAATGCCAGCTCTGCCAGATTTAGTAGCACTTCTTTAATTTTTCACCTGAGAAAATTGCTCTTACATCTTCACTTTTTCCTGTTCCATGGGGTTAAACATAAATCAAGTGTTACAGTAAACCAATAACTTATAATTGCTATCTTCCATTGGCAATCTTTAGTTGCGTCAGATTGAGTTTCAAGCAACACTGTTTATTTGTTCACTTAAGTGACAGTGCTGAGATTAAATATAATATATTAGTTATTAAATGGGATATTAACCAATTTGCCTTTTGGTCAATGTCTCGATATAACATTTACAGTTGCTACGCAAAATTTCAAGAATTTTGAATTTGAATTTTCATGTGTGAATCTAAGCTTTGAGGGAATTACACTGTGTGAATCAGCTTAGTGATTTTAAGCCCCCCGAATCACAACTTTCGCCATTTTCTATCCACTTTTTCCCTTACCCCCAGGATGATCTTGAGCAAAGAAGACATGCAAGTGTTGCTGCTCCACAGCAAGGGTTGTACACTGACAAGTTGGCCTTAACAGGAGATGATCCATCCTGACACAGATATGAGGATTTGAGAACTCAAATGAGGCCACCCATAATAATTTGATGCTGTTCGTCAGGCTCCTGATCTTTATTGCTGTTATCACTTACTGGCCCTTGGGTCTGAGTGTTAGTTGGCATACCAGGACACTCACTGGTGCTCACAAAGTACTGCAGGCAATGGTTAAACTTCTGTCCCGCAGCAAACACTTTCATTCATTGATTGTTGATTGTAGTCAACAATTATTTTGGGTTTTTATTTTCACACTTCCTGGCATTGTTTTTCTGTTTCTTTCCCAGAAACATAGGATTTTAAAAGTGAAATGAACTAAGTAAAAAAGGGGCAATCAGTTTTGTTCTGCTATAAGTTAAAATGGATATAAAAATACCTCCAGTTTGTGTCAATTGTGGAGTCCATTTAGTTGCAGGTCTTAAGTGAGTAAAATATGGAAGTGAATAGATCCTTTATCCTTTCATATTCCACACATGAATGCGTCTTTCTAGTCTGCTGACTTTATTTTTCAGTTTGTTTGATCATAGAGATTGCATTATCTGTGTGCACTCAATTTTCCTTCCCTGCTCTCTGTTAAGGGAAAAAGTCTATTGCCTGCAAAGTGCAGGTCCATTTTAATCAATCAAGCCTAACATTAAAAACCTCTTTGAAAACCCTCAGCTCGAGACTTTATTCAAAGACAAACACTTCTTTTAACAATAAGTAACCTTCCGCCCATAATAGTATATATATAGGCTTTGCTATATAAGTGGGCAGTGCGATCTCCTCTTATTTTTTCATCTAGGCAGGGTGAGAGCAGAGAGAGGATGCTGGGTATGATTTCATCTCAGGACAGCAAAAGAAACCACTATCATATGCTTATTTAAGTCTGCAGTTTACTAATCATTTGACGGTTTTATTGGCAACTGATTACATCTGTATTTACATTTTTTGAATCAATCATCTGCCAGTTTTCTGCCTCTACAGTTTACTTCATGCTGCACTCCTTCTAGCTGATACTGTAAGACGTTTTGTTGTGTTCTGTATTGTGCTCTAAATGTCAGCCACTCCTGTGTATTAACCCATCAGGGTTTTCTTCAGCACAGTACTTTATTGATAGAAAGGTCATCCAGAATAAATGGGATCACCATGGTTACGCAGAGCGAAAAAGGGGAACCTCCGATTTGAGGTGTGTCCACCGTTGGCTCTGCAAAGAATGGATGCACCCTTACAAGTCTTATAACTGTGAGGAAAAGAATATAAAAGCACAGTGGGTTGTTGTCTTTTTGGCCAAAGTGCCCTCTCTACAGCACAGTGGGGCTTCAGAATGTATTTTCAGTTTCAAATAATAACAGAGATGAAATGAAATGTTTGTAGTTTGAGTCCCACTGTACTGATTGCCCATCTGTTCAAACATTTCTCTGCAGAAAGCCCCTCAGGGGAGTGGAGCGACTAACACAATTATAACAGATTGGAGCATGACATGCAACAGTTACGTAAGCCTCATATCGCAACTCAAATGTAAATGCTCCAAGTTTCCTTTTACATTTCAACTCTACTTCCTGTGTGTGCTCACTGACCGTCCACAGTCACATTTACAATTGACATATAAGTTGTGGCTACAGCAGTTCAATTTAATATTGTTTATTTACATATATGGAAGTTGGAGAGAATTGGATAACACATTTTCAAGTATATGATTTGATGTAAGAGATTAGAGATAACATAATGATGCTGCCACTTCATTTTTTAATGATTCAGCTGTGGTAATAAAAGTCGCTTGGTTTAGTGAGAAACCAATAAAATGTTAAGTATTTAAGAAATCATGCTGAAAAACAGCTTGGATTTATTCCAAACACTATTTAATTGATATCAGCTATGTTTGACTGAAAAACAAGTTATAAATACTAAGATACCAAAGAAATAAGAGAAACATTTAGTCATAAAATAAAATAGAACACCTACAGTAGTACCCACTTTAGGAAAACACGCAAATCCAAATTTGGATCCACGTTTTAACAACCACAACATAAAGAGCTTCTTCTTTGTTGTTCACCCCTCCAAGATGCAGGGAAGGTCAACTTGGAATGAAAGTGATAATGAAATACAAAGTCATAAATGGTAAAGATTTATATTTATTTCTCATCACAAATAAAAAGAACCATGCTTACTCATCACAGAAATAAAAATAAGAGAAGCGATCAGTCTTTGAATCTTTACCGGCCTGCTGCCGGAGTGTTTTTTTAAGAATGTGAATAATAGCACTCTATGAAGATTGAAATTCTTTAAAAAAAATCCAAGCCTATGCCCATACACTGAAGCCACTAACCCCCACCACCCACAACCCATTACCCACCTCCACCCGGCTCATTTCCCCTCCCCAGAACAAAGATCACAGCATTGTTTGAAGCGGTCTTTCTCAGGGCTCTCAGTCCCCAGAAGTCTTAATAACCTGGAATAGTGTGACATTGTAGAGCACCTGGTGTCCGTTGTTCCAGGTGTACAGGACCCTCTCCCTGGGGTTGTAGTCCATCATGGAGATGTGGGAGTATTGATTGTGGAAGGGGATGTCTGTGTACTCGTAGCTTGACGTGTTGGTGTAGTAGGCAAAGTAGATCTTGGCACCAGCCAGGTGAGAGTTGGTGACGTAAAGTGTACCGCAGATCATGAAAGACTCTCCAGCACTGCGCTTGGGAAAGCCCGTGTCCCAGGTCTGCAGCACCTCCAGACTCATGGGCTCCAGGCGGCTGATGACAATGTTCCCAGCATTGGGGATGGTGGTGTATACAGCCCACAGGCCATTCTCATCCGCCATCAGGTCGATGTCAGATGAGCCGCCCCAGGAGTAAGGAAAGGTGTTGTTGTAGCCGGCTCCACTCAGGCTGCGCTGCACCAAAACACTCCGAGATCGGAAGTGGTACTTGATGATGATGTTGCTCTGGTACTTGTTGTAATATAGCGAGCCGTTGTAGACCACGTGACCAGTGCCGGCCCAGGGGTGAGGCAGTAAGTGCTGCACAAAGTTCTGGCCCTTCATGAAATCATTCATTGTGCGGTATTCCAGGACACGCCGCCCCTTGTAGTAACCATCCATGGACCACACCTGCGGAGAGAAGAACAATGAATCCCATTGGCATGAGGGGATAGAAACAAGTTCATTTTTATAAGTCTATCAATAAATAATAATCAGCAATTATTTTGATAATCAATTAATAGTTATTTATAATGCAAAAATGGCAAAATATGATGTTTTCAGTATCCAAAATATGGAGATTTCCTTTTTTTTCTCTATTTTTAGCTGAATATTTTTGGGTGTTGGACTGAAAAATACATTTAAACCTTTACATTTCACAAACTGGGGTGGACATTGCTAAGTATTTTCTAACATTGTATGGACCAAACTATTTATCGATTTACCTCGAAAATCATTGGCAGATTAATTGATCACAAAATAATCATAAAATGAAGCCCTTATAAACTAAAGGAGAAACTGAACATATTTAGAGGTTACAGGAGAATATTGTTATAGCCGGCAAACCTCTTTGCAAGAGCACTGTGAGCAATGTTTTATTATAGCCGATGGCGGAGCCCGGAGCAAAGTAAGCGTGCTGTGTGTATGTGGGGCGGAGCGTGAGTGTGTGCCTTCATGATCACACTGTACTCGAATGTGTTGTTATTGATCTCTCCCACGTTTGCAAGTGAAGACGTTGCCTGTGCTTTGCAATCTACCACTGCTTGTGCTCCCTGGCCTTTCCAGTCCACATTCACAGAAAATCAATCCATTTAGCAGCTCTAACTTTTTCCTCAAGCACTCTCAGCGGATCTCTCCACTGACATGGCCCCTCTCTGGCTGCATATCCCATCTCATTCCCTCAATGCTTCCGCCGGGACACAGTTCAGCTTTTAATTGATTCAATTAAACTGCACTTGGCTTGGATATTTATTTTCTTCTTAATGTATCAAGGAGAGCTTTGTTAGGATGTAGCTCTTGCTCCTCTGATTCCCCACCAATTGTTTGTCAGCTCTTTCTTTTTGTTTGCTGCTCTTGCCTGCTTCCCAGGTGGAGAATAGGCACTTTTCTTCAACAACAATTCCAGTGGGGGGGGGAAGTAGTGTATTGGAGAAGTCGGGGGAGGTGAGGTACAGCATCTGAATTATGGAGAAGGAGGGATTATGGAGCATTAGGCATTGTTTCTCCTTTGCCTGCTGAATGAGTCCCCAGAGCTGAGCCAGGCAAACACTGTAGCACATTTAGACCATGCTTTTGTTTTGGCTCCTCAATGATGTTTCCCCTAATGCGATTATCATGATTGGTGTGAGTGTTGATGTGATATTGTTGATGTATCTGGCTATTAATACAATCAGTGATTCATTTTAAGAGTTTAATGTGATCTCAGCAAGCAAGGTGATCACAGACAGAGATCACAGCATTCAGTCACAGAAATTGACCTTCTCTGTTGGCAATATCTATTTAGCCTGTTATGATTCAGAGTGGGGATGAAAAAGGCCATCTTCATCTCTCCTCTCAAACTTCATCAGTTTCAATTCTCCCCTATAAATGGCTAATAATCCACTCTTTGACTTCGCCACAACTCAAAAGGCCACATAATTTCTCTTCATTTTCTCCCTCACTTGTGTCCTTGTCAATCTGCTACTAACCATGTATTTGCCTAAATTAAACCATGTGTCATCTCTAATCAGCGGATGCCATTCCTACATCATCTGGGTCCAGAGCATCTCAGCACACTCCTGGTAATTACCTATGGTGATTTAGAAATATTTTGCCCAAACAACTTATTCATTTCTCTGCTGATGATGAAGTGATTAATCAGCCAGAAATGCAGTGACAGTGGTAGACAGGGAGAAAGAAAAGGGATGCTATCAATCAGGGACTCAGGTTCATATCCCCATTTCTCATTCTGACTCTTCTCCTCCAGAGCTTACGAGATGTCCTATTCAGGCAAAACAGTCAATCAGTCACTGAAGAAGCAGCTGACAGAGTTTTTGGAGAATGACTTTGATTCTACTTCATTCTCTGTGTTTGTTGATGTGAGTTGCAGGAATTAAAGGGTTCTAGTTCTGGGGTGACTCAGGTGAGCGTAGAAACAGTGGGACTTACCCTGTTGTCTGAGCTGGGGATCATAGTATCAGTCATCCAGGAGCCGAACCTTGAGCCAGACGCACGTACGGTGATGGGATTACTGACACCGGTCAGCTTCCCACAGCCTGGAGGTCAAATCAGAGAAAGAGGTAAGATGCTTGGATTGTATGACTTAGTATTACTTTCTCTGCATTTGTTTACCCAGTTTTGTGAGGCACTAAAAAGTAATTAAAAGTTTCATGAATCATATCACGCATGAACTCATTTCTCTGTGCAGACGCTTAAAGCCATTGGTAGACAATAACAAAACACTATTGACCTAAAGGCTACACTTTAATTGCAGTTTTTCCTGTTAAGTCATCAATTTATATATATGGGACTTTGTAAAATCATCAGTTCAAGCTAACACAATACAAGAAAACACTCAATTATTAATTCAGGCTTTCTAGGCCATTTTTTCTTAATTTATGCAAACATTGGGAACATCATGGAGAGTGGAATTATTGCCAGTACACAACAAACTTTGACCATTTCGTATTTTAATTTGAACATTCATGCCTTTCTTCGTTGCTGTTGTGCAACCTCTAATTGTTTAAGTGCTACGATATTTCAGAATAAATTGAAGTAAACTACCCACCCAAGCACCCACTTTTATTTGCAAATATCTTATACCTAGTTTCTGCATGCAGGAGTGGAGCCTGGTCTCCAGCAGCAGGACTCTCTGGCGCAGCTCCTCATAATCATAGGCCCCCATCTCCTCCTGGATGGCCATCAGCACCAAGGACAGATTCCTCACCTCCTCCCGGAGATGCAGGATCATCTTTGCATCCATCTTGTACTGGTCCAGCACTGGCAGCAGGGGAAGCAGCTGGGACACCTTGTCTTTTAACTCCTAGGACAGTAATCACAGAGAAAGATAAATGGAACAGCAACAAAGGGTGGAGAAGATTAAACCCTGGGGAATACAGGATGGGGGATGAAGTTGACAATACAAGACAATACAGGGGATTGTGTGCAGGATAGGCTAGCTAGCCCTTCAATCTTCAGGTGTTGCTTCTGGTTCATAAATCATCGCTCAATCAGGAGTTCATATTGTCGCTTGGTGCTGGTTCATCTGTTTGGCTTCTTAGCGCCTGGATTCATCATGAGATTTATATTGGAACTGCAGCTGGGATTTCATGAATACCAGACATTTCTGGAACATACAAGGACATTCTATTTTTTTGTATTTCTTTGGCTGTGTCTTACACCACCGTCTACATAATTGACTCTCTTTATATTTATGCTCTTTATAATTAAACACTTTCTCTGTTGCTGGCTTTTTTCTGTATTGATCATGCTTCCACCCACTTGTTTAACTTGTATGGGATTCTGTTTATGATCTCTAAAGCATACGTAGACTTAATTCCATTTTCAATCCTTTGTGTGGATAAGAAAACTGAATGTATTCAGTATTTTCAATAAGGCCAAATGTATATCTGTTTCCTGTCTCAGCTGGTTCTGATTATCACCTACATTCAGTGGTGATGTTGGGTTTAAACTTGGTCTGTGACTCATGTGTTTAGAAGCAACAGGATCAATGTGTCTTTAGGTAGGAGTGCAGGAAGCAGCAAGAGAGGCAGGCTGCCTGCGCAGAAGTTAGAAGGCTCAAGAGAGAAATAGGTGTATCAATAAAGTGTAGCCATCACAGGAGGGGCTGTTTCCTCCTTGTTAAGGTTTATCGTAAATCTGGTGATGGAGCAGCTCTCAGCCCCGTGGCGCCACATCATAAATCTCATTTTCCCCTTTTCAAGCCACGGAAATTCAGTCTCGTTAATCTCCCACGCTCTGCCATTGGCAACTTTGAGCTGCGCGCATTCATCAGCAAACCTGCTCTGGTCAAATCCTGCTTTTTCAAATACTTCTTCCCCTCTTTATTGGATTGCGGATTTGCATTCAGACAAGTCTTCGAATATAACGCTTACTGCTATGCATATTTTAGTCATCTCAGGCTTTAGAGGAGAATTGGCAAATTTCATAAACATCTTCATTGCCTCTATTGTACTTGCTTTCATAAAAAACACTAAAAGAAAAATACCGCCTGTCGCTGAAGCATGGTCTCAAGTGTGCAGTAAAGCACACTTAGCATTTATCAGAGCATCTTTTAATCAAACTATTTTATGGTCCATCTAATATCTGTAAGGGTGTGAGAAATGTGCCGAAAGCCTGGGCAAGACACCATGGTGACAGGAAGACAAAAAGGCCTGTTGATAATGGTAGCTGAGCCTTAGCTTGTAGAGAGATAACGCATAAATGTGAATATATGTGTTTGTTATCTCAGAGCAGACACCAGAATGTTAAGTATATAGAGGAAGAGACACTGAGAAAGCAGAGAGAGGAAATAGTGTAAATGTAAAAGGAAAATACAGAGAAAAAACCCTTTTCTTCCAGGTCCACAAGCTTACTTATTTAGGGGTATATGAATTATTCTCTGCACGTGACTCGAATAATGTTTTGGAATTTTATTTTTGTACCTATGTGTCAGTCTATCGAGAGTCACAAAATCTGATTGCCTTTGAAGAGTGATTCGAGAGATTGCCATGCATCTGGTAAAGTTTGTGTGCACATTGAGAGCAATACAACATCTCATAGCATCTTGAGAACACTACACACATGGTGTAAAGGAGACAGCCAATTACCTGAAAACCCTTTGGATTGAGACTGCGGGGATTGTCAGAGGCCACCTTCAGCTTTCCATCCAGCACTTTCATTAGGCTCTCGGTGTTCCTTACATACTGTAGATCTCTGTACGTCCGCAGGTCCAGCACCTCCATTGACTGGCTAATGTTCTGAACCTGTTACACACACAAACACACAGACAAACAAACACCAACAAACATTAAACAATGACTTTGGTAAGTGTAATTAAATAAGGATTTTTTCACTAACCCTCATTAGACTTGCAGCTCTAGCTTGCAATTACAGCTGAACTGATAAGTCAATGTTAGTTGATCATCTAATGTAGTCATTGATTACTATTTTAAATAATGTTCTAAAATAAGAGTAATTCCTTTGTCTTATATTACAGCAAATTACATTTCTTTAGGTTTTTGTGGATTGTTTGTTGGACAAAACTAAACCTGACTGGAAACTGAGATGAAAACATTTGTTTGCAACAAGCCAACAGTCTGCAGTCCAAATAATACATTTAAAAATAACGAGTAAAATAATGTATATTGCTATAATGAGGGAACACTCTTAACTTTTCATTCAGAGTAAAATGACATTCCATGAATGAGTCTTTGCAGCTTATCATACTACTTTATGTTGGAGTCTGACTGGAACCTCCATGACTTACTGGGTTCTCTCTTCAATGTATTTACAGTTTCCGTCTGGGTAACAGTAACGTAAAAACAACCAATATAATCAATGATCACTTATTTATGGTAAGCCAGGTCCAATGGTAAGCATTATTGTTTCTCGTCATAGTTAAAAAATAAAAAGAAGAAGGTTGCCCAAATAAATCACTGAATGCACCCCCCGGCGAGCTGACAGGATGTTGTTTACAGGTGCATGCTGGGTTTAGTTTAATGTTATGCTAATTTGTGGCCGATCCTCCAGGTGACTCCACTGACGGACTTTTACCTACAGGGTGCTGTGTGAGGACTGTCTGTTGTTTTTGACAGTATTTCCCTGTCATGTTGTGAATGCAAAGCTTTATGCAACTGAACGTTTTTTTGAAATAATTGAAGATCGCAGCGAAGCAAGAGAGACTGTGTGGACTCGCTATGTGTTTGAATTGTTAGGAATCAACAAGCGAGTAAATTGAACCTGGAGCGGATTAAAGAGGAAACCGCGATGCACAGAACTAGCAGAGAACCGTTCAGAAACGTGAGTACAACAATACAATATCTTAATGAAACTTCCTCTGCTTTGCCTGAAAACGTAGCGTTGTGTGTGCGCGCATCGTTGTGCAGAAACCGTGCATGCGCTCTGTTTGTGGCTGCAGTGATTGAAGTGTTAATGTTGTTTACATGTCTGTGTTATCTGCTTTGGCTATGCTTTATTCTGCTGCTAACGCTTTAAGATGTGGCAGGCTGTTTCCTTTATGTGGCTTACTAATGATTCCACCCGCCGTGGTGTCGAACGACTCTTTATGGATTTATAGTTCAATTGTCTTGACTTTTGTCCTGATTTCTGGAGAATGCCAGTAAGGCTATAAAGAAAAGGGCTGCTGTATGCACATACTTGCATACTTGGTTTGTGCTTTAATGCGACATTTCATTTCATTTTTCAATCTTTATTTCGAACAGATTAAAAGAAAAATAACAAATAAAAAATAACAAATGTGAAAAACAGAATACCGTATTGTTAAAATACAGTATTTATCCACATTCATGATAATATTTATATATTCAACAAAAAAGTCTTCATATTAATAATAATAATTTAAAAAAATCATATGTGTCCGAAAGGCAGTAGGAGGAAGCAAATGCTTATTAATTCCCACCCCTTACTTGATCAATGATTGTCCTTTAAATCATTATGCAAGTTATTCCTACTTACATTTACATTTATATATACATATACAATCATTTCTCATCTTCAGTCACCTCTCTTCATTCTCATAGTTTTCCAAAAAAGTGTTTCTGTACATCCTTTTAAACTGAATTATGCTTGTGCTTTGTTTTAACTCCTGCTCCAAACCATTCCATAAAATCACCCCACAGATTGTTATACTCATACTTCTCAGAGTTGTTCTGACCTTGAGTTGTTTAAAATGTAGATTTCAAATTATACATTATGGTGTGTGATGTTTAATAGTGTTTACTTGGACATGCATTGTAACTTGTTTTGCTAACCACTGCTCCTCCTTTTAAACAAATATAACACTAACGTTTACTCACCTACTTTTTTAAAGTAAAAATCCTTAATAACCTATAGGCCTACTTTTACTTGTGTATTCCTGAAAACTCTGAAATGCTCACAGAGGTTGTTTCAGTCACCAAACTGCCAACCCCCCCAAGTTGTTTTCATAACTTCCCCCAGTGAAGGTTGGAACGTTTTTCCAAAAATGTATTCCCCTAAAGGGTTCCAATGCTATTAGTCATCTGTATATTTCAATTCATTTGAGAGCAAATGTACTATCTCCTTGACCTTGCTATAGATGTACTAGTTTGCTTTCCTCCTCATATTTGCATTGAACTGTACATTAAAAGTGTGGTCTCTGCACTAGTTTGAAGAAATGGATGAGTGTGGTAATACAACCTTACCACAGTATGTACATGAACAATGCAAGTAGAGAGTTAAGTTAAAGGACAGCTGTAAGTCATTTGAAACACACAAGGATATAAAAAACAAAAATAAACAGGTGGCATAATTAGCAAATGCAAATAAGAGACTAAAGACAAGACTAAACAAGATGAAAAGTGATCTTGAAAAAGCAGCAGAGCTTAATCAAGAAAACGCATAAAGAAGCACAACACATTAATCAATTATTAAAAAAAGCTACCTAATTAGGATATCAATATCCAATCTCTCCATGCTATCCAAACAGAAGGGTAGCAGGCTTTGTTCACTAACATTATGATGATGTACCCAAGTTAAATAAACACCATATTCATGGGGGTGCAAACATGCTGTCAAGTAGGTGTTTATTGAAGCTCAGTTTTCACTTTTGCACTATGTTTAATTTTTACTAAGTACTCCACATGCTCACGCTTTGATAACCCACTTTCGTGCTGCATAACCAACCTACTGTTTCATACACCCCCTCATATCCTGCACGTTGCACTGAACTGGCCAGAAATCCTCTGACAAATGTTTGAGGGCTTTGTGGTGCATATAGGCAACACATGCGCACATATGTCTAACTACCCACACAAACACACACCCACAAGCACCTCTGAAACTCAAAGCACACTGATAAAGTGAGAAGATATTTATTCAAATCACTTCTCACAACAATAAACAGTCCAAACTCTCAAAGGTCACTCAGCTCGACTTAAAGTCTGTTTACCACCAAATGTCTTGCTTGCCTACACCTTGACACCTTTTGTACTCCCAAATCATCACATGCTTCGTGAACTGACCAGTGAATAGTTGGTGTGACTTTGTTTTTCTTCACCAATTTAAAAACTAGTTTGACAGCACTACAGATGGGGGAACGAGAAACAGTTAAGTGTTGCACCAGCCTGAAACCTTAACAGTGTCCTCCTGCTCTGTGGTGACAGTTGGGAGTGCTCCATCCTCTGAGCTGTCATAAGTGATCCACACTCAAGCACCCACACCTCATACTTCCCAGAATCCAATCATTTGCAGGTGTTTATTGTTAATGACTCAGTCTGTACCAAATCCTGAAGTGTTGTATGGGAGGCTGTGGCTCAGTGGATAGAGTGCTGGACTTCAAAACAGGGGGTAGCAAGTTCGAGTCCCACTGCAGTCAGCATGTCGTTGTGTCCCTGGGCAAGACACTTCACCCCAAATTGCTCCTGTGGGGATTGTCCACAGTATTGAGTATGTAAGTCGCTTTGAATAATAGCGTCTAACAAGTAATGTGTAACGTAATTGTGTGTATGCCTACCTGACTGGGCCCTCCTATATCATTTGATCTCATCTTAACTCACTTGAACCGAGAGGTCCAAGTCTGGGCTGAGGTGTCCTAGAGTCTGTGCAATGAGCCTTCTCTCCCCACCGTCCTTCAGGGCTTACTCTGCCCTGGATGGTATTTTGTCTGCCTTTGCAGAAAGCTGAATAGAGGCTTTTCCAGAAGGCTGCTTTACATTCTTTGAACAGAGGGCGGTTTTGACATTGTTAGTGCAACCTTGGCTTTCTCTGTCAGGGGGAGCCTTTGTGGATCTGGTCGGCTCAAATAAATCCCACACATGCTCGGGGTTCAAATGAGGATCTCTTAGTGCGCATAGTGCTATTATGTGCACACACACACACACACACACACACACACACACACACACACACACACACACACACACACACACACACACACACACACACACACACACACACACACACACACACACACACACACACACACACACACACACACACACACACACACACACACACACACACACATATATATTCTTGTTACTTGTGGTTTCGCTAGAGTGCATCTAAAATAGCGCTGACCACAGGTGTCCTCATTAGGCTGGTCTGTGCACTGTATTTGATGGGAGAGCTTGGCTCTGACTACTGGTGTGTCACAAGCACTGTGCATACCCATGCTGTTTAATTCAATCCAATACATCAATACATATAATGTTTGCAAATCTGAGAGGCAGTTATTTCACTCTGTGGTCATTTGATAAGCCTTTTTGTGTAATGTTTTCAGAATGGAACATGAACAACTTTACTCTCATTGTATAAATCTACACCCTCACATATGTTCACCTTTATTTTATGTCTTTAACCATCCAAAAGTTATGCTAATATCTGCATAAAGGCTCACCAGACATACTTTAAACAAGATCATGTTGCAGTCACAGCTCTCACACCTTCACATTACTCTACAGCAGGGCTCTCCAACACGTCGATCAACTGAAAAGCTGCCCGCGAGCTACCAGTAGCTCGCGGGCAGCTTTTCAGTTGCTCGCCGCTCGATTATCGATTATAGCATTTTTCGGCCGCGGCTGGACAATAACGTTTTTTTATTTTAGAATTTGTTCTGTCACACGAATATCAAATTGGTCGGTGACGCAGAGATCAAGGAACAGACGTGACAGCGGCACAGCGACACCACACACGGAGCAGTCTGCTTTCTCCACCAACACCAGTCCAGAACTAACAGCAGAATGACCCGCTCCGCTCTGAATCAGGCCCTGTCGCTGCGGCTCAGAGACACACAGGGAGGGATTTGTGTTTTTTGAAAAACACTCGTTATCGTCATGTCAGGCCCCCTCCCTGAAAATAATGAGTGACAAGCTGATAGTGACCCGATAGAAACTTTATTATTCACTTAATCACTGATTGAGATATGATGAAGCTAACCTAATCTCATACATTCATGGGATTTATGTAACAGTAAGACAGAGAATGTAAGTGTGCACCCACATGCACTATTTTTGTTTTTATAATGATGTTGTAAATACTCCTGTTGTCTGCTGTGTTCAGACTCAAGTCATGTGTGTGATGCCACATTCAAGACATTCAGTGTCTTTTTTTTAACAGAAGACCGTTGCTAGAAGCTGCAGCTAGACTGCAGAAGCATTCGTATTTTGTTTTTGAGGATGGAACAATTTCATACACACTCACACAGATATAGGGAGGCTAGACCTATACAATTGATTTATAATTTAATGTCAAGACGAAGAAGAAGAAGAAAAAGATGGCTGAACTGTTCAGGTCAATCCTGTGGAGACGGAGATGGAGATTATAAATCTCCAAAATAATGTTCAGTTTAAGTCTCAGCAAAACTCACAACATTTCTGGAGCCTTGTAGACCCAGAAAACTATAAGAACATTCACCAAGCAGCACTGAAAATGTCTGCTTTATTTGGCTCTACTTTGTGAAGCAGCTTTTTCTGACATGAATGAAATCTAAATACAGAACAAGAATGACTGAAGAACATATAAATGACTCTATTAGAGTGAACCTAAGTGGGTACACTCCAGGATACACCTCTATGGTGGACTCCATGCAGCGCCATTCATCTCACCAACTGTGAAAAATAGTGAATGCACTTATTTTACACATGTGCCATAAGATGCTTGTAAGGTGGTGATTAAGGAGACTTATGTGAATGTTCAGTGATGTACTTACTATGTGGGCCATAATAATATGTGAGAAATGTTCGTTTTCTTGGAACTTGATGTGAAGTTAAGATTTTTGATAAGCTTTAGGTATTGCAATTTCACACGTGTACAAAAGTATAGCTTAATTCAACTGATGAGGGCTATGTGAATAAATGTAAGCGATGTGATGCAAGTAGCTCTTGGCCACTTTCATTTTTTCAAAGTAGCTCTCAGATGAAGAAAGGTTGGAGACCCCTGCTCTACAGACTTGTATTTAACCTGCATTCAATCTACAAACTCAGTTGCTTTAGCTATATAAGCAGCACTAACAATGCTGCAAAGTATATACATAGATATCCATCATTAAATGCATACTGTATGTACTGTATTTGGATTCTGCATACTTAAAAATAAGGATGGGGGATATTTACATGCAGAAATGTATTCTTTCCACATGAACATACATAGTATAGTATAAAACTATTCCTGTAAAGACATATATGGTGCATCTATACATTCACATATGTAGGTAAAGACAGCTACTTTCTCTGAAAAGCTTTATCTAGTGTGTCTGTTTCTCAGAAAGAATATGCTTTCTCTGTTGAAATATGCTTCTTTCAAAGGTGTGATGAGTGTGGGTTTTGTCTGTATGAACCTGTTTTTGAAACAGCAGCCGGCAGAGACTGTCAGGGGAAAAGGCAAACTTAAATGAGAAGAAATGCAATATGTGAATTCAGGTGTCTCTTCATTGATCCATCAGGACCTCGGGGCCTATTCAGCGTTTCAATTTACCTCCATCTCTCCTCAAAAGACTACATCAATGTCAGCCCCTCCTGTCTCCCCCGCTCTTTTTTTACCTTTCGGCTCTCAGGCTTTTACTCACTCTGCGGATCAACGCTTATTCACCCATTCACTGGCTTAGAGCATCTGCAAAAAACAACTTTGCTGTCAACAAGCTGCCATGGCCTCTCCAGCAGGGGAAAGCTGTCAAACATTATTTCTCTAATAATTATTTGTGAATTTAGGAGACAAGTAGATAAGAATGGAAAGAAGCCATCCTGCAGCAATCCTCTCCTGCGTGTCTACTCTCACCACTGGTGTGTTTGTGTGCTTGCGCGTACACATTGTAGGTCAATAATACTGCATGCAAATAAAACATAGATTTATTGTCTGGTTGCTGGAACAGTATAGTGTGATTGCGGGTTTTGCATGTGTCAAAGTTTAGTATGACATTACATTTATTTGCTTGACATATAGGACACACGTTTTCATAAAAAGATGTATTGACATGTTTCTCACTAAGAGGAAGACTGAGCAGAATGAGCATAACTCTAAGTAAACAGATTTAGTGTGTGCAACATTAACTGTGTAACTACGCAGACAAAGCATTTGCTATCTTCGCTGATTGGTTAAACTGTTCATTTATTTTAGGAATTAAGAAAACATTAAGAGGCTTACTGAATCTAATTCAGGGGCAAGTTTGGAACATGTATGTTACTAAGGCAATTTATACTCAACATGTGATTAAAAAAACAAGAGTCTAACAAACAGATATTCATCTTCGTGTCTGATCAACTGTGGGGTAAAGTTAGTGTCTATATTCACTTCAGCAGCCTGTATACGTGACAGACGGCGCCAGACACGACGCGCTGCAGCGTGTCTGTGTGGGTAACACTTGTGTCTCAAAGTGAGTGTGTTATTGACAGCTGTCACCTTCTCCATGAGCTGGCGAAGTTGCCTGCTGCGTGGGTCTCGGTTACACATGTTCTGTGCCGGTGCGACCACGGTACAGATACACTTCCCATCTGCGTCCTGCGCCGAGCTGTAGATCTGCCAGCCCTCCTCTGGGCTCGGGTACAGAGCCTGCAGAAACACAGAGACATATCTTAGACCAAGAGAATAAACGTGTTGCTTCTCTCTGCTGTTTTTTATCCTGTTTATGTTACAAATGGTTAAAAAATGTCCCTGGAATCTTTTGAAAAAAGGGTTATGGGTCATTTTGCACAATGTCTATAAAAAAAAAGCACATCAAATGAAAAACAACGTCTTATGGCATGTTTTGGTTAAATGTATGCCTATTATATTGAATGATCCCAATGCTTTCACTCAGCAGCGCACTCTTCCATCACATGTACAGATAATTTGCCAGAATTCCATTAAATAATAATCAAATAAAATGACTACCCGCCATGCACAGTGCATTCTCTTATCATCTGTGCAGCCCACACTGCAATGCCAGCCAAGGGACTACATGCTATGCAAGTTATGATTATTCTAAGTGGAAATATGTTTTTGTTTTGAATGACGTTTCAGTGAAACAGCACAGAGTAGCCTAAAGCAAACTTACTGCACTGTCCTTGCTAACTAGCTGTTTCCATGTGGGATGTAGCTTGATTAAACATGCTATTTGAGGAGTTTTAATTCATCTAATTCAAGTCATTCTTTATTGTGAAACATTTATTTTTTAATGAGTTGTTTGCTTAAACGGCAAGTTTGCACAAAGCCCATATTGTTGTTTTCAAGTACCATTCCCCTTTATTTATCTCACCACATGGCCCGTTGCCAATTAGTATTTGACAAATGAATGGATTTATTTGTCCATGTCTGTTTAGGTCCTAAAGCAACCATTTAACCAGATCCTAAACTTTAGGATCTGGTTAAAGGGTTGCTTCTGACTGAATATGACATGTTAAGTGAACCCTAAGCAGATAACCCCTATATTTCCATTATATTCTAGTTATTTCCTGTTCATTCCCGTACTTTCTGTTACTGTTATTCCCATATAAAGTTTCCAACTTAAATCTTCATTACGTACCAAGCAGGCTTGGTATTTTCAAAATACATGAGGGCAGACTAGATATTTTTCTTCCAGCATTTATCAACAGTAATCTGAAAAGTGTTACACCCTCATAAACAATTTCTAAACTGAGACATGTATCTAATATTTGAAAGTGTTGTTGAAAACTCTTTAATACTTTCCATATCCTGATTAGTTGTGCCCATTCTGTCACCATACATTAGCTGCAAAGTCATAATTTCTCCATGGCATTCGCCTACTCTCTTGCAACCCTGTCAAAAGTGACTCTTCCCCAAAGGCAATTAATAGCAATTGATCCATCCAACTACTCAAAATCTATGCAGTCTAATTTTAGGATTAACTGGGGAGGAACAGAGGGAAAGCGAAGCCAGAGATTGACAGAGGTGGTGCTCTCAGCAGTAAAGAAAGGAGGAGAGAGAGATGGAGGAAGGAGGAGAGAGGAGTCAGAGGGAAACAATAGGCAGAAATGGGTGCAGATTAAGATAAGACGAGAACATTTGTGGAAAATACACAAAGGGATGAAAAACACAACGCCATGACAGAGATGGAGTAAGAGCTTGACGGGGTGGAAAATGGGGGTTTTAAAGAAGAGAGGAAGAGGGAGGGATCAGACCAGGCTGTGTGAAAGCAGGGCATCTAATACGTTTGGACACCGAGAGGAAATGGAGCTGTTCGAGATCGATAATGCAGCCCGTAACCAGTGGAGGAGGGTCCAAACTGAAAGGATGGATTTCTCTCTCTGACTAATCCAATCAAAAGTAGTGCCGTAGCACATGTGCACACAGTTTACACAAAGGCCCGGACCGTTCCTTTCATTCACGTTGCACCTACACACACTCGGCACATAAAGCAAAATATAATGAGAGAAGAAGCAGCCATTTTAGTGATACAATTAAAGACCCATCCGCATAAGTGGCAGAAAAAGGCTGGAAATAAGATCTTGTGGCTCGACCCGGTGCCGCTTTCTTCTGACTCTCATCTTCTTTGGTCGGGGGATCAGATTAAAATGTCTTGGGGGACAAGGGGACTGTGTGATTGGAGTGTAAAGTAGCAACCACCCTGCAAGCCAATGTGCTCACTGTCACATCTTGTCACTCCTGCAAATCCCTCGGCACCCCACCCCCCTCTCTCCCTCCCCTCCCCTGTTCTTCCTCCAGTTCCTCACACTCTCAGATTGAGTGCATTTTAAATCTGACTTTGATCAAATACATTATGGCCAATAGACTATACCTGAGTGACTTCAATGTTGCAATATCAACCATGACAATGACACAAGACACTCTTTTCATATTTGACCTGTTTCATTATATATAAGGGTAGATTAAGTCGACTCATACATTTTTTTAAATGAATACATCTAAGTTTAATTAAACTAAGTAGCGAGTAATATACTATGAGCTTGTTTGTAAGTTAATGTGCAACCAGTTCCTGAAGTGACTTGCACAGTGTTTTTTTCTGTCAGTCAGCACCTTTTTTTTATCATTAGTCTTCCTTTTTTGAGGCAATCCAGTTTCTGGCTGTAAAATGGAGAGACAATAGTCTAACATTGGCGGAGTTGAAGCTAAAAAAAGACAAAATAAGGCAGTCTCAATAGCAGAGCCTCCTCCAATTTCTTTCAACCATAACTGACTGTCTATTTCATTCTGCCATTGCCCGAGGGGGAGATTCTTTCCTTTGTCTGCTTCTCTGCCCGCATCTCAGTCACTGTCAGGACGTCAGATTTATTGCAACATGTGTGCATGAGTTTGTGAGTGCAAGTATTTCTGTGAGCCTGCCTAGGTGTATCGGTATATTATCTGCATGCACACAGAATAACAGCACATACAGTACATGTGAATTGTTCCACATGTGGTATTTTCTACATGAAAAATGTTGATGATGCATGCATTTGAAACTGCAGCTACACTACTGATTAAACCCCGAAAGGGATTCTGTGCATATCTGAGCAGCTGTATGCATGATTACTGCAGCAGAGCACTTTGACTGCTACGATACTTTGGACGTGTGGTAGATACAGTATAGCGAATCTTGAGGCCATACCATTTTACACCATCTACTCATTACAGTTGATCGCCTGCTGTGTTAACAAGTGGAGGTTAGTTAGCCTCAAACAGCAGAATCCACTTGTCTTACTCACTCTGAGGGGTATGTGCAGCCTCCTGCATTCAATACAATTACCTCATATCCAAACATGTGGGCGCTGCCTGTCTGCCTACGCACTAGAAATTCACTTTTGGTTCAGAAGGATTGTGGCGAATGGATGCAGAAGAGGGCATCAATATTTCATATTCCTATCAGCCTGAAAGGGAGCCACAGTTGGTGTCTAACATATTTTGTTATGATATCTTACGTAGTGGGCTGTAATAAGCAAGTTCTAAATTCAACAAAGTGATATTTGAGGCATGTCAGCTCCATTATCCTAATACTTTCTTAATTTTCCAACATGTTTAAGCTCACGCTGTGCTCCTCATGTGCTTTTTCCCCAAGCCAGGGAGCTTTCACAGCATCCCATCTTCTCCTCTCTTCATTAATGTTTCATAAATGCTGGGCTGAAATTAAAAGCTTATTTGAAGCCGTTCCAATTTCATTACCACCCACCTATCCATTCTGCACTAACTTTCCCATTCTCATCACATTGGCAGTTTAGATTGCGGGGGGAAAGAGGTTATTTTTAAATGCAAATGTGCTTTGTCCCTATATACTTTGTGCCTGAGCTGTTGCGATGCGATCTATATACCATACGAAACTGATCTCTCGGGATGCATGTCGTGAACGGATATGTTTTGGAACTCCAGTTAATTTATTTATATATGATCAGTCCCCCAAAGATTGGGTCAATGCCATTGGTTAATTAAACACCCTGCAGCCCCATGCAGCCTATAAGAAACGTCATTAGTGGTGGAAATCCAACCTCTCCAATAACTAGTGGTTTACAGAATATTATTCAGGGTATACATAGTCAAATAAATGAATGATGTTTGCATACTGTGCAGGTCAGAGTGTAAAAGTTTAAGAAAGTAGTGATCACATAACCTGTGCTATCATCATTAGCTATTAGTTATCTTAGGGAGCTTCAGGTCTGAGAGATAATCCTCTCTTCCCAGACACAGACAGTGGTTATAGTAGGGACTAGGGAGGAGGTGTTGAGTTCCCTGTCTTAGAAATTCACCCATTAGACATCAGGGATGAAACAGAATATGTAAGTGCCAGATTTGAAGCTTTCACGGTCATGGGCTGCCATGCGAAAGCCCATTAAGGAGAAAGACAGCAGTCATTGAAAACAACAGGAAACCGCAGAGGGCAAGAGAGATGAAAAATCAATTAGGCTTGCTTACTCAAGTTAAAATTGCACTCTAAGATTAGTGTCCTTCCCCTTTTGTGCCACCCACGGGTTCCCTCTGATCCCATGACATCACAACTGGCAGCCTGGGCCTATGAAGTCTCGTCATCCATTGCTGCTATGTCTTCCATCTACAACCTGCCATTCTCCCAATAGAAAAACAATTTAATTGGAAGTTACTGATATGGTGATAGGCGGAAAATGAAGTGGTTTGAGAAAGGCTGACAAGGGAAAGAGAGATGGTTCTAATTTCCTCTAGCTTAGTTAAAACGCTGCCCAGTCATAATTCAGAATGACAACTTCAGTTGAATCCCTGCTGAGAAAGGGGAAGAGGAGATGAGAGGCTGTGGCCATTACTAAGCTAAAATCAAGTTACCCAATGCAACTCCAACCTTTCTCCTCTGCTTCCTGTTCGCAGCATGTACAAAGGACCAGTTTCCAATGAGATAATGTGTCCTTTACAACCTTAATGAAAACTAACAAGCCACATTGTGCTTTTACCTAAGTGTTCCTTCAGTGCAAAGTTGCTCAGACCCTTGCATTGCAGTGATTAACAAAGTTCAGAGGGATTATCCAATTAGACATTGGAGCTGCTGGTATCACTGTCGAGAGTTGCAGGATGGACTTCCTCTGGCGTTTCATTAAATGAACCCTGGAGCTTGCTGCTGTTAAGCCAGAGCTAAATGAGGTCATAAATCTTCAGCTCTCTACTTTATGAGCATGACGGGAAGTCTATTATAACTTTCATAAACAGCAGGCAGAAAGGGGCAAACAGGCAGGAGCAGGGATATGAGATAGATCGTGCTGCTATGCTGTGAACTCAACCTGCCATCCTCTCTGAGGAAGTGCAACGTCACAGGATGTACAGTAGTGTAAGAAGAGTATAGGGCTGAGATAAAGTGGTATAGAGAAAAGCATTTTGAGATACAGTAAGGGCGTAAGGAGAGATAGTAAGGATAAAGAATGCTACACACATAATCTTTCTCTTCCGTTTCCATCCCACAATGCCAACTTTGTTTATCCTTGTTCTGCATCTTCACTTTCTTTCCCTCTGCAGAGTCACATTCTGTGCCAGGCATTCACTTCTTCTAAACGCTTGTCCCCAGCACAGTAGAAACATCTGTCCCTGCTACACAGAGCAATCTATGGCCAAACAATCTGATCTCATTTTTCAAATTGGCTGGATATTGCTGTAATCGACCGTGTACAAATAAACATGCAAATACACCCCCCCCGCTCTTCAAATGAACAATCAGTCAATCCTCAATGCACAGGCCAGCTGCTGGCCTTTACAACAAAACCCAATGAAGACTCCGAGTCAAGTCCCTAGTCTGTCCTGCACCCAAGGAAAACCGATTACCACAATCAGTGCAGCATGGTTGCCAGTCAATAATATGACTCATAAACTCATCAAGCCCCTCTCCCTGCTGCCTTATTTTCCTCCCTGCTGCCTCGTACTCTCTCCCACTCCATCACTCCCGTGCCTGCCACCCCTCCTGCCTGGTGTCCTGCTTGCTTTCCATCTGCAGCTCACTCATTCTAATCGGGATCACACTTAGATGACAGTAGGGTTGGCAGATCCGTCAAGTGCTTTTTGAAGTTGGGGGGTTAAGTTTGAGCTCTGTTGGAGAAGTAGGAGAATATTACACTCACCAATGTTCAGCACATAGGAGCTACACACGTTATACTTTTTGGAGCAGGCTGCCTGTGCCGTGCCAGTAGCCCCGGTGCAAAACATTTGGCATCCAGTCTGCTGTTAGACGGCTACCAGATAGCTGTAGCTGATAGCTGGTGTTAAATTGAGGAGGGGTGAGAGAGAGTGTGAGGAAAAACTGTATAAACTGTTAGAACACAGTCAGTGGTTCAATGGAGGAAAATGTGGCTTGCAGAAGAGTGTGAATTGTGAAATCATCAAATAGCTTTTGAAGGGCAAAGCACGAGTCAGGCATAAGTTCAGTTGACTTGAAATTACACTGTCATAATAGAAAATGAACCATGTCTAAGGCCTGATAATGAGCCCATCTATAAAGTCTGTGATCAATACTGCGTTGTACACAGGCTACAACGCAGCTCATGTATCAAAACAATTTAAGAATGATTATTAGATTGTCTTTCACTGAGAATCTGTCTCTCCACACCACATCACATTGACTAAGTAGTAGAGGACACCTGTCTGGGTCTGACCTCAAATAAAGTTTGGTTGAAGGCTGTACAATGAACATAAAAGAAAAGTGTGCAAATAAAATTCTGCAGCAGTGTTTAATCTTAAATCCATGGCCAAGAATCGATTTTAACAGTCTGCTTTATTGGATTGCACAGTGGATGTGATAAAGTTTACATTCCTACATAGTGACAGACAGAGGCTGGGTGACCCCAATCATATTGTGAGCATGGCGGTTTGTTCACTGCCATTTGTTGTTTTCTGCTCCCTTTTGATGCTGGGAATATTTGATCTCACTCTTCTGCCTCACAGCTTTCTTATTTTAGATATCAAAGGGAGAGTCAACACACACTCACGCACACACACAAAAGAGGTGTTATGGGTATGCAACCACATTATGTATGACATTGGCAGCTGGTGACTCAAAATATTGGGGAGGGCAGGAGGAAAACCAGCTCACAGCACGATGTTATTTTACACTACTTATCTTATTCTTTCCTTAAATTAAACCCAAAAAGGCTTTTTTCTTTTTTAGGCATCTTGTACATGTGAACAGATACAGTACACACATTTTATTTCCTTGAAATAATAAACCATAATGCGCCGGTAATCCTTTCCTAAGCACAGAAAGAATCAGTAAACAGGTACACCTTGAGTTGTTATTACTTAAAAGCAGATATGATCTATCTTAACGTATTTTCTACTCTGACTTTAACATGTAGAGTACACCAAGGTTCAATTCTCGGATCAGTTTTGTTATTATATTATTATTATTATATAATTTATCAGTGGTTAACTTGATAGCAAGTATGATGTCTCTCTGACTATGCTAAACTATGTGATGCATTCCCCCAGGTATTTGCAAATAAAATTAAAGTTCTTATTTTTGTTGATTTTCATGTGGCAAAACAAATGTAGCAATGCCATGGCAACTGTATCCCAAATGTCAGGTGTTACCTTGCCTTGATTTCAGCTTTGAAAAGCATAATGAAAGAGCATGCTGGTTTCCTTATTCAACAACAACAACAACAACAACTGCCAATTGTATTAATAGATTCATATTAATTTCTTAGTATACCATTTAAAAAAAATAAGTGTGCGTGCACAAGGTCTACAAAAGTGACTTTTGGGCTTGACCATCTTGTGCAGGAACACACATTCTATGTAAATGTTAGAGCTCTTGGGTCTCCTCTGCTCATTAAAGAACATAGTTTTGCACTCTCCAGATGTGTACAAGCATCCAGGCAGGGTTGTGCTCAGTGCCTTCTCAGAAAGGACAGAGAAACTCAGTCAGCTGTGTTCTTGAATAAGCTGGTTAGAAGACGAGCGCAGAAAGCAAGTGAAGCAGACTATGGAAATAGCTCTGAGCTTGGAGAATAGTGGAAGCAGCGTGCACTGGTGCCAGGGTGGAGACTGGCAGCAGTGCACGCAATGGCCACTGGCGCACTAGCATCACAGTGTCACAAGACCGTGGCTAGATTGTTTTTGATTAGAGCTCTAAACATTGTGTGAGTCACGACTGCTTCTAAGATCATCACAGGCAAATGTCTCATTAATAGTGATGGGACTTTGAGGCGAGGCTTTACATTAAAGTTTTATTCCCTGCCATTGTTTTATTCCTGTCTCAAAGGGGAGACATTTCCCATCACAGCAGACTGGTATACTGTAATATTTTCTGGCACAATCAAACTGGCTCATCAGTTGTAATAAAACATTGATGGAATTATCTTAGATGGCAGCCTTTCTCCTTTTCTCTTGTGAATGAGTTGCCTGAAAGAAAATAGCCACTCACAACTATTTATAATAATCTGTTGTTTCCAGTCTTTTGAAATGCAAATTACAAGGCTCCCAGACATGAGTTTACTGAAGAAGAACCTTGCAACATATTCTATTTCTCTTGACCCTAAGCAGGATAAGCAAGTATACAAAAAACAGTGGATAGCTTAATCAGGCCATAGCCCCGGGGAAAGGTGGGTGTTCAATAGGATTATAGAGTTTAGTGCTGTAAATAATTCAAACATGCCTTGCGTTCTGACATTATGATTTAACTTTGATGATTTACTGAGATTTACCTGCTCAAATATGAGCCTGATGTAGGAAAGATACAACACAATTTGGAAGCAAAAATGCTTTTATCTAGATGCTTGACATTTTCACAAGGGTATACTGTGAGTTTATCTCCAAGAAGACATCAACCTGACACCTCACTGCAATAATAGGGAGACATAATAATACTTTTAAATTATATAACTCTTCTTTAAACAGATGGAATGTCCCCCCTGAGACACACATTCCAACACTTCCTTTGGGTTCATATTTGGACATAAAAACACACCCACATACACAGCAATTCATGTACACATGCAGACACACACATTTACCCAGATGGTTGCAAATCTCTTGGGATGTTACATTTCATTCAATCATTTCAACAGACCAAAGTATTTGCTTAAAGGGTAAGGTTACCACAAATAACACACTCGGGATAGAGGCGAAGGCAATCAGTTACCTATGAATTCATCAATTATTAGTCTACTTGATATATTTAATGTCTGTCTTGCCTCCTATTAGCAAACTGTCAGAAAAAAAAACTTAGCGTGTAAACAAAATTAAATATAAAACCTTAAACTAACAAACAGTTTTCTAACGAAACACATCAGATGCCCTTGTTATACTGTACCTGTATGACCTCTCTAAATGCCAGAATGTTTAACATGAGGAGAGGAGGATTTAGGGACAAACAGCAGAGGAGAAATAAGACGTTAAACTGTAACATTGTCTCAACCTCCCTGTCTCCCCCATCACCTCTGAATCTGAACATCTTTCCCACCCTGGAGGTGAGTGACAGATGGGATCAGCCTGAACATCACTCAGAACAGCTCTCTACCTCCCGTCACCCCGCCAAAGACATATGATTTACCACGACCGTCCGCCCTGCGCCTCCGCCTCTCACTCCTCACTCACTCACTAGCCCACAATCCTGCATCATTATACTTAACATGACTCACACACCAACATGTACATCTTTCACGTTTGGCTGAAACATTGCTCGCACATGCATGTCGACTTCCATCATCTTGCTCTTATTAAAACATCATAACACTTGTGACAGTCCCACACCCATCACTCCTCCCAGAAACCCCTCTACTGTTTCTTTAGTTAAACATGAGGCACACTCTAACTCTCATCTTAGTATCTTTCAATTTTTTCAATATCACCCGGAGTCTTCTGCTGTCACTCTCTTTTTACCTTACATTCACAATAAAAACATTAATGGACAAATATAGTGCACACAGACACTTGCAAAAAATGAAAGTAAGTCATACGCACACTGACAATCCTCTCCGAAGTGCCCCCTCTGGAGATGGTGGTCCCGTTGAGTCCAACCAGAGAGGGCAGAGTTTGAGACATCCAGTTGGTCACCATAGCCATGGTGCTGAGCACCGCCCCGATCTTTAGCATGGGAACGCTCATGTTTGCTCCCTGTGGGGCCCCGGCGCTAACAGCCCTGCAGCCAGCCCTACCCTGCCCTGCCCTGGACCTCGGCTCCAGTCAAACCCCTCTCTGCTCCAGACAGTCCAGGCAGGAAGCAGCCAGTCAGTGTCTGCCTTCCAGAGCTGGTGAAGCACAGTTACCAGACCCACAGCCAGAGACTGGTTAGAGGAGAGCAGCTCACATCCAACAGCATCACCCTGGAATCTTTCCCCTCAGAGTGACTGCCTCAGCCTCACCCCCTCCCTCTCTCTCACTTCCTCACTCTCCCCTTATCTCTCCCTCCCTCTCCGTTCCACTCTCTACCTCAAGATGCAGAGCTGCGCATTGGCTGCCTCTCTGTCTCAACCCCTCCCGATCAGCCTATGCTCTGTTCTTGCCAGCCCTGTTTTGCATGCATGCATCTATTCTTTTCTGTTTCTCTGACATTTGGCTGTGCTTTCATGATTCAAATCTCAGTGTGTGTGCACTTCCACATTTCTGTGTGCTGTGTGGAGATCAGATAGAGACTGATGTGAGAGGGCTGATCTCTGCTCTGTTATGTGGCATGTGTGTGCCAAAGGCATGATCTCAGGGTTGAGTATAGACTGCCCTCATCAAACTAACTTCACTGATTGGACGACTGGTTATAAAAATAAGGAAGTCGATAGATTTAAGGTTTTCCAGGGACGTGAGGGGAGACATTCAGAAAAGTATGAATGGTATGAGAGATCTAGGTGCCTCTGCCTACGGCTGCTTCTGACAGCTCATCCGTCATTCTGCTTCATGACATGATATCACCCTGTAGCCTCCACTTCTACAGTATCCTACCATCTCCACTCTGCCTGGGGCGTAACCATATCACCATCTTAACTTACATGTCTTCTCGACATTCACTGCCTGAAACTCTAAAACTACAGAATAAGTGCAAGAGTTCAAATGTGGATAATGATTGAATTGACATAATGACGGATAACGTTAAAGTTTACAAAACAACTTGTATCCAAAACTGATAATACATTTGTTTTCTTACCTGGCTGCTACCACATGCTTTCCTTCAATAATGGGGGATTACAAGTTATTTTCAAGTGGTGCAGGTAAACAATTGTTGTATTGCTGTAATCCAAATGGCTTAAGCTCTTAGCACAATCACAACAGTGTCAGATAGCATAGCAATTGCTTTACTGCCTATTGGATGTTGTATCACCTAAGGGGCTTAGCCTCTATCTTGATTGGAGATCATTTCAGGACAGACCTCAGACGTGTGTAGATCAACTCTTTGGATGTAGGGTATGTATTGGATCCGGAGATTGTCTCAAATTACTACTTGAAGCTTGAAGCATCTCCTTGCCGCATTTTCCTGCAATATTCTGGGCCACTGGCGGTGTCATTTTATGACCTAAACAACCATGAATAATGATGACAGAGTGGCCCACTCAGACAAAACGGCCAGGTCATCTTCCTTTCTGTTGGCTTCCTGGTCTGCTGACTTATTCAGTTTGTCAGCAATGGATGGGCTCCCTTCCCCGAGCAGTCACATCGGGTGAGTGATATTGCTTCCGCTGTGTCGGACATACTGTGAAGTGATATGAGAAGAGACAGCTTTCTCAGCCCCATCCAACAATAATGAATCCCTCCTCAGTTCACCTGCTGGCTCCCACATGTGTCTGCGCCTCTATTTTTGTAGCAAGACTGACCCTGTGTGGCTACCGGTGGGATTGCAGCCCATCATCGCCCATCATCGCTGTTGTGCAATAGTGAAACTGGTAGACAGGTAGTTGTCACTTTATGTGAACGTGTCAAGGATATGTGAGGCAGCGCGTGGCATTTCGGTTTAGAATCACTCTGTTCCATGTCTCACAGAGATTTTAGAGAAAGGTACAATGCATTAAAGTGTCTCAAACACACTGCTGCCTTCAGGGGCATGCGGGAAATAGACTGAAGCCACGTACATTTCACATATCATCTGATTACATCACAGATGATTTAGTTTGTATCTAAATAGTTTGTCTATTATATGTCTACAGGCAAATTACTATAACTAATCCAAACAATGTGCTAATAACATTTATTATAAACTATATTTACATATTTAAGGGAATATGCTTGCAACTATTGTGAGAGATGAAGAAAGCTATGTTTGTAATCTACCGTACTTAATATTTACTTCAATGTACCGTCTAAAGAGAATGCAGTAATGGTGACATTCACTGGGTGGCAGCAAAGACTTAAACATCGATGGACGTCCTTTACCTTTGTTTCTTTATTAAATAACCAAGCTCCTGCTTCTGTCCTGGTACAAAGTAAGAGCGGTGACTGAAAAGAAAAGCATTATGATGGTGCTTATTGGGGCATCATCTTCAATTACGTGAAAATCTTTCACCCCATGTACGACTATGGCCATTGTGCAAGAAGTAGGATATTTCAAAGCAGGTAGAAGTACATGGCCACATCCTAAATGTTCCTCCATTGGCCCCAATTATGACGACCATATACAGTATGTTCTGAGTAATGCCTTATGGAATAAACACTAAATAGGCACACATTGCCCTAAACTAGTAAGGACCCAGTTTGACATAATAAATTCCCTTGCCCATGCCTAATGTTCAAAATGATAATGATCAATATCAAAGGTAGTTTTTTTGTTTCCTCAAATTAGACATGTGCCGTCGACTGTGCTTTTATTACTAGTTGGTGACTCAGAAGTTTCATCTCTAAGGAACATTTGTCTCCCAGATCTCTTTATTCTCTCTTTTCATCAGCTTGCATTGTGATTTTATAATAGCAGTCTAGACACTATTATTTGAATTCTGATGACAATGCTTTTCCCTTTTTAATTTGTCTTTCTTTCATTTGTGCCAAAAACATACTGTATGTGAATGCTGCGCCTGCTAAATGTAAATGAACTGAAACCATCGAGGCTGCCATCAGACTCCTGCAAATCATATCTTCTATCACAGGTTTTTCATATCCTTTTCTTCTATTTCAGGGTCTTTTTATTCAAAGCCATTGTTAATAACTTACTCACATTACTTGTGTAAGATTGAGCGCACCTGAACTCTTTCAAACTTAAGATTCTTGTCACAGAGTGCGGGTCAGATGCCATCTTTTGTAAAGTGATGGCCCAAATAAAGGAAGGCAATAATGAGTGTCATGAGGACAATCTGCCATACCGCAAATAAATCCATGCTCTGCCAATCAACTATCTAATCATGGAGTCTGTTGGCAGAACAAGCTTTCATTAAATATTAGCTAGAGAGGAAGTCAGCCTTTTAACCTGTAATAATGTAATTCTTTTTGATTAATTTTCACTGCCATTCCTCACAATTTCCACCATAATAATTGTCCAGACTCATTTTCGCTGCTTATTATCTTCAATTCTCTGCTCTCCTTTGTTCTCCTTCTCATGAATTTTATTTAGCCTTTAACTCCTCTCACTCTCTGCCTCTCTTTGTTGTCTCTCTTGGCCCCTCCGGCAGTAATACAAATGGCATCGCATCATGTGTTTCTCCTTTACCCTGCATGTGTCTTAGCTCCTACTATTTCTTTCTGGAGCTGATGCACATTCAGTGGTGTTCATAGCTGTCCTGTTGCATGCGTGGACTCAGATTTGCACTTCATACTGTAGAAACAAACCCTGTGGAACATCTGCATGCACACATATTGTGCAACATTTTGGTGCCTCCACAGAGACATGCAAACATGGCTTTGTGCTTAATAATAAACATCTAAAAAAAAAAATCACTCTGCTCTTAGCCTGAGGGCTTGCTCTATAAAGGGCATTTTTAATCAGTTCAAACTGTGAAAATGGCCACCGACTGCACAAATGGCAGCATTTGTGCACACCCATGGATGGCAGTAGAGTGCTATAAAGCCTGAGGTCATAGGGAAAAACTCTGGGTGAGATAACAACAAAACTGTGGAGCAGAAAGCACCAAACACTACAAAAACACAGCGGAAACACAGGAACAAATTACACCTCAGCTAATTACACAGACCTCCTTACCATTGATGCAGAGCCCTTTTGACTGAGGCCACACACAAGCCCCCGCCTGAGCTCTGAGAGATGCTGGAGTCATCCTGCTCTAAGAATACTGGCTATTTTTCTGAGTCATAATTCATTAATTAGATGATGGACATGGAGGCCCACTGCCTTCCTAATATATTAAGATCAAAATCAGCTCAAACAAAGTGTGACCTCATTACCATGGAAACTATTTAAATGGCATAAATAGGCTGTACCCCAGGGTCTAGGCAGGCAGACACAGTGGTGTGCAGTGTTTAATCTATTAACAGCTCCTGTGGGCCTTTGATTAAGGAAACTCATCTGGGCTTTTACATTTTATAGTAGCGACTGAGACCACAGGAGGATTATAGAGCACACATGCATCGACCCCTGCATGCATAAAGTGCAGGGAACACATCAAATCGAGTAGAATATGTTCAATAATTCAAGCAGAGAGAGTTCACCACAAATAAAGTAGGGACTCTGTCCCACTCTGACCACAGAGAAATGTGACATAATATGATTAATGGCATCATAAATATGGCTTGCATGAAGACCTTACATGGGAGTCGGTAACCTTTCATGTTCAACTTGCTTCAGCACTGTTTGACAAGATCAGGCACAATAATCTCGTAAAGACAATAAGTGTGTCCATTACTGTGTGTATGTGCTTACGTATGCATGCATCAGATTTGTTTGTATGCGTCAATGCCTCTCTTTGTTTGTGTCCACTTGCATGAGCCACAATTTCTCTCCACTGAGCTGTGAAATGTCGACAATACCCTCTAATGGTGGTTGCCTCAGTGTTGTCGAGAGACCTGGTAGAGCTGTAACATGCACGCAGTATAAAGTAAATCGGTCACTCCTGTAGGCAAGTAACAAAACAGAGGCTCAGCCCGATGGTGTTTAACTAGAATAATGTTAGCAGGAGAGATTCTGTCCTTCCAGTTGGAACACACGAGAAAGAAAATCAATATTGTAAGTGTGTCTGCCTGGC